GGGGGAAGAGGAGAAGAGGGAGTAAGATGAGGAGGAGGAGAAGGAGGAGTATGAGGAGGAGGCGGAGAAGAAGGAGGAGGAGGAGAAAGAAGAGGCGGGAGAGGAGGAAGAGAAGGAGGAAAACGAAGAAAAGAAGGAGGGGAAGAGGAGGAGAAGAAGAAGGATAAGTTGGAGTAAGAAGTAGAAAATGAAGAGGAGGAAGAGGAGGAGGAGGAGGAGGGGAATGGGAAAAAAGAGGGGAAGGAGGAGGAGGACGAGGAGGAGGGGGATGAAATCGATCGGGGAAAGAAATCGATCGGGGGTAGTCGGCAAGCTGCGTTGTCGGCGTGTGAGAGACGTTCACACGAGACTCTCAGATTTCGTACGACCCGCGTAACGTAATGTTCTATATTAGTTAGTTAGTTAGTTAGTTAGTTAGTTAGTTAGTTAGTTAGTTAGTTAGTTAGTTAGTTAGTTAGTTAGTTAGTTAGTTAGTTAGTTAGTTAGTTAGTTAGTTAGTTAGTTAGTTAGTTAGTTTTCTATGTATGTAAATGGTGGGGTAGAGAAACGGAGAAAGAGGAGGAAGAAAGAAAGAAAAGGGGACATGCGAGAGTGAAATAGAGTGGCGAAGAGAGAGTAAAAGAGAGAGAGAGAGAGAGAGAGAGAGAGAGAGAGAGGGAGAGAGAGGAAGGAAAAAAGGGGACATGCGAGAGTGAAATAGAGTGGCGAAGAAAGAGTAAAAGAGAGAGAGAGAGAGAGAGAGAGAGAGAGGGAGGGAGGGAGAGGGAGAGAAAGAGATAGGATAAAGAGAGAGAAATGAATAGGCGAGAGAGAGAGAGAGAGAGCACGAGAAAGAGAGAGAAGGGGGAAGATGGGAAGATAAAAAAAACGAGAAACAAAACTAACTGCACTATAAATACGACATCTTTCTCACACGTCGAGGATATATATCGCAACTAAAAAGTGCCACGTTGTAGTAGGAATATATAACAAGAAGCAATGACTATAAATGCAACTTCAAACGTCCCTCGAAAAAATGCGATTATCGAAGACACGGAAATGATGTCACAACCTATTACAACAAAAAATCGAAAAATCCCATTTTTATTTAACCCTTTTTTAAATTTTCACGGATGCTTGCGTTTCATAAACGCAATATGTTAATTCCATAGTTCGCGTTCATCCTGTCTGTTGCCCTTTACTCACTGAATTTAGTAACAACACTCGTGCGTATAACACTTGTAACAGAACCGCAGCTGCCACCACCGAGCTGCGATCAACACATGACACAGCAACGCGTATTTAAATTGACTACGTCACGAATTTTCTATGGTAAAATTTGTAAAATTTTTGTTGCCATTTTTTTACATTAAAAGTAAGAACTAAACGTATCCTCAAATTCTTACCTGATAAGATTGTTTCTTAACTAGTTAAAAATCCAAAAAACCTGGACGATTTGATATTGTGTTCCTGACATTAATTGCTTGCTATGGGCTATGTATGAGTCACGAGTGTATGTTCACATCAAACAATAATTATAGTAAAATAAGAAGTATAATGCAGCAATTTAACCATAAAAAGTGAACAGAATTACTTATATTTTGTGAAAAAAAAACATTTTTACTATTTACGGTGACGTAATCACTTTAAGCTACAGCAGATGCCGACTAAAAATCTTCTACTAGAAATCTCGACTAAAAATCATGAAATCTTCATGCAGCGGATTGACAACAAATAACGGAAAATAGATTTCCTACCCGCCACGGGTAAATCATGTACATGGTTACATAGTCCCATAAAAACACGTGTATGACTATAAAACAATATATATATATATATATAACTAAACTATAATTAATAAATGAATAAAATAGATTCTGTATAACCGCCACGGGTAAAGCTTGTACATGGTCCCCATAAAAACATGTGTATGACTATAACAATGTTTATAACTACATTATAATTAATAAATAAATAAAATAGATTCTGTATAACCGCCACGGGTAAAGCTTGTACATGGTCCCCATAAAAACACGTGTATGACTATAACAATGTTTATAACTACATTATAATTAATAAATGAATAAAATAGATTCTGCAACCGCCACGATTAAAGCATGCACATGCTCCCATTAACATTATATATATTATTGCGTTATAATTAAATAATGGCTCTTCGCTGATTGCCTGCTAAATCTCAAGGTTGCACCGTCTAACACAAATCGTTACCGATCGAAAATTTACTGATATATGAGATGTTTATAAATTCTCACAACGCATGCGCATATTCCCGCCAGCGCATGCGCAGAATAGTGCGTTCATATTTGCTGTAATATTATGAGCAGTTGCAATTCATTCCTCTGTATATTATTGCGTTAATTATATCATTTCATCTCGAATTGATTGTAATTTCATCTTCAAACATTGTTTTCGCGCACGCTATATGCTGTATGTTTTATTCGATATACAGATGCGTGCTTGTATTTGAGAAATATTGAATGTACAATCAATAACCTGGTGCTCACATTTGCTATAAGGGGGTAAGGCATTGTGAAGTGGTGGCTTCCGTTATACTTACAAGGCAAACAGAGTAAAATAAAGGTTTAATAATCGTAAATAACCCAGAGATGCGTGTTATTCATCATGTAGGAAATCTGTGAAAGCCTCGACTCTAACCCCCCCCCCCCCACACACACAACACACACACACACACCACACACACACACACTCACACACACACACACACACACA